TTACAGGAATCCATGGATTCCATGAGTATACAAAAGAAAATCAGATTCAGTCTTAGACAAGGGTGACCTCTGCAAAAAATGAGACCACAAGGAAGGGCTATACATGGTACCAATTGTTTGAGTTGCATCTATAAAGCAGGGTCATTTTTTAAGAAAACAAACACATGAAAACCTACATTGCTACATCTGCTTTGTCTCTTTTAAGGCAATCTTCTTGAGAAACTAAACATGAGCTCTAGTGCTCAAAACAAAGCTTGTACCTTGAGTCATGCATTTTTTGTCTTTTTAAAAGCAGATTTCATCTTTTAAAATATCTTCTGATCAGGTTGAGGAAATGTTGGTTGAAGGGTGGGTGGGGTGGGTGATGAGTTACACCCTTAAAGAATAATTACATGGCTTGCAAAGTGGCTCTGGAAAAATCCTTTAAGAAGGATAAATTGAAAATGTTTGCAATATTAAAAGGGCAGGGACTAGGGAGAGAGGATGGTGGCTGTTGGTGTCATCTAGGTGAGTTACACTTTCAAGTAGAGGGTAGTGATGATGGGAAAAGTGACTAAAGGGGTGATGTAGGGAGGAGGATCTAGAGATTCATGAAAGAAGGAAATAGGAACCAAGAGTAGAAGGAGCACTCCTGGGGTCAAAAGAGAAGAGACAAAGATGACTCCAATGTTTGTAGTCTTTGAGCCTGGAATAATGGAGGTGGCACTAACAGGAAAGTGGTTTAAGGGTGGGTTAAGAAAAAGATTAAGATTTGCTAAGATTTGCTTCATTCATGTTGAGTTTGAGGGGACAAAATAACTACCCGGAGCTGCCATTTAAGCAATGGGAAATAAGTTGTGGGAAAACTAAGAAAGGACCATAGCAGTAAGTGGTATTTGGGAAACATCCCTTGAGAAAGCACGTGGTATTACATCCACCCCACTCTTCTTGGGTTCAGTGGTAACATTTTCTAATCACTCTTTCCCCATCTCTGATATTCTTGCTACCCTTTTGGGTTTCTTTTCTAAGGAAATATTTGAGGTTGCTCAATCCTCTTCCCCTCTCATTCTACCCATTCTTTCAGAGTGATCTCATCCTCTCTCATGGATTCGACCACTACTAATATACTAATGCCTCTCACATCTCTCTTTCTCTTGAACTCTAGACTTCAATGTCCAAATTTCAACTGGACATCAGTATCCACCTGAGTGTCCCACAAGGAGCTAAAATGAACACATCCAAAATCATACTCCTTATTTTCCTCTCAGGCCTGGTCCGCTTACTGTGTTCCTCGTATCATTGAATGACATCATACACCCAGTTGCCACACTAGAAATTTGGGAGTCGTTGTGACTACTCTGCTTTCCTCACAGCTCCCCTGAAGTGTGGGCAGAGCCTGTTGGTGCCACTTCCCTGATGTCTCGCAGTCTTTCCTTCTTTGTTCCCACTGCCACTGCCTGGCTGAGGCAGTCCATTCTCTCTCATCTGACGGATTGTGACAACAGGCTCCTAAGTGGCCCCTCTACCTCTGTCCATTTTATTCTCTAAAATACTACCATAATCCAGTTTTTAAAAATGCATATCTGCTTGGGTCTCCGTCACACTCTGGCTTAAAACCCTCAGTGGCTCCCTGGGGCACTTGGAACAAAGCACAGACTCTGTAGGAGGGCACTGCCACTTCCCTGCTCATGATACTATACTGATTTACCCCTCAAGCTTCACCCATGTTTACCCTGTGACCCAGACAATCTGAACAGAGCCAAGCTCTGCCACCCCTGTGCCAGGAGGCCCTTCCCTCTTCCAGAATGTATCTTCATGACTCCTCTCCTCTGACCAGACACAGCTTAGATCTGCCTGATCTGGAGAGCGTTCACTGATCCTGCCCTTGCTCTCTCACTCCGTCACCCTTGTCTGGGCTGAGTCCTTTGCATGCCTGTGGCACTCTGTGCTTAACCTTCCAATGGCATTATCATATTGTATTGTGACTGACTAATTCCTTGTCTGTCTGCCTCATGAGATGGTAAGCTCTTTGAGGGCAGTGACTGTCCTTTATTTATTGTTGGGCCTACAGGGCATTCAATAAATATGCGTTGAGTAAATGAAAAACATTGAGAGCGGTGAGCTTTCTGAGAGAGCGAATGTGATGTTTTCATATTACTGTATGTATCAATAGAAGCAGAAAAGGCATTTGGCAAAATTCAATACTCGTGATTAAAAAAAAAACTCTAAAAAAAATCAGAATAGAGAGGATTTCCTTAACTTGATAGAGTATCTACAGCTACAAAAATCCTACAGGTGACATTTTATTTAATGACAAAAACCTGAATCCTCTCCAGACTGGGGACAAGGCAAGGATGTCTTCCCACTACTCTGATTCAATGTAGGAAGTTCTACCCACTGCAATAAGGCAAAAAAAGAAAATAAAAGGCATACAGATCATAAAAGAAGAAATAAAACTGTTTTCAGATAGCATGGTGATCTACAGAGAAAATCCAAAGGAATCTAAAAACCCCAAAAGAACAAAAACAAAATTTCCAGAACTAATAAATGAGCTCAGCAAGGTCAGATTATACAAGATAAAAATACAGCAATCAATTATATTTCTATATACTAGCCATGAACACAAGGACACTGAAATTAAATACATGATACAATTTACAATTACTCAAAAAGGAAAAATAGAAAAGAAATACTTAAATGTAAATCTAACAAAATACTTAAAGGACATATATGCTGAAAACTTTTCAAGGCTGATGAAAGAAATTAAAGAAAATGTAAGTAAATGAACATTCTATGCCTATGGATTGGAAGAGTTAACGTAGTAAGGACTCCCCAAATTGATATTACAGGTTTGTATTAGTTTCCTTGGGCTACTGTAACAAAGTGCCACAAACAGGATGGCTTAAAACAACAAAAACATATTCTTTCACAGTTCTGGAGGACAGAAATCTAAAATCAAGGTGTCAGCAAGGCCACACTCCCTCTGAAGTCTCCAGGGAAGACTCTGTTCTATGCTTTTCTCTTAGTTCCTTGTATTGTCAGCCATCCTTGGTGTTCCTTGGCTGGCAGATGCATCACTCCAATCTTTGCTTCTATCATCACATGGCATTCTCCCTGCATCTCTGTGTCTCTCTCTTCTTTTCTTAGAAGGACACCAGTCAGATTGAATTAAAGACCCAGCTTAATGACCTCATCTTAATTTGATTGTATCTACAAA